CTTCTTACATGACTTGGGCAGTCAGAGGGCCAATAACTAAAATCAACCAATCAAAATGCTCTATTGCCGGACAATATTCTCTCAGTATTGGACCAGGCACTGTCCTGAATGGTCCCGAATGATACCGCACTTGTGTCCCTTTGAACTTCAGTCGTATAATAAATCTCTTATTAACCAAGCTTGCTTGGGACCGTACTGGAAGAATATCGGCCCTCGATCTGTCTTTTTTGTAGGGACCTTGCTGTGCTTGGTCCGTACTGTCAAGACTTGAGGCCGATATTCACCCAGTACGGCCCTCGCCCTTGGTTAATAAGATATAAATACATATGCATTATACAACTACCAAATACTCTGACCCTCACCAGCCAAGACATAATCTGTGGGAGTCCTTAGCCCATCAAGAAGTGGTCCAAGATCATGATCACCAAGTTGAACCCTGTTCCAAAAAAATTAAATAATTCAATTTGAAAGGTTACCTCTTAACAATTATGTGAATGGCCAAATAGTTTAAAACATCCGCAAGGAAATTCAACATGAAGCTCAAAATGTTCTTGTTGTTAAGTCAGGTTGCAAAATTATTAGAAACCAAAAAAACATGCAACAGAACTATTAATTGTTACAAACACCTTCATCAGGATTGGAAAATTTGGTCAAGCTGGGGATCAAATTACGGTGAAACTTTGAAAACCATGAGTACCAAAAATGTTCCCATTTTAACTTCCCCGAGTGACCAGGGCAGAATTTCTCCTTAAAATTTCAAGTAAATACAGCATCAAGCAGAAAGGTGATAACAACAGAAAAAAATATCTGATTCAATAATAATGAGACTATTACTATTTATAAAATAATGAGATCTGGGAGTGGAATAGTTAGTGAATGGAACTAAAATTGGGTTGCAAGATAAAAAGCCAAAACTCTGAGTAGCAGCTGCTAGCTGCAATCAGTTTCCAGTTAAAGGATTGTTCATATAAAATCCAAAATTTTCCTTTGGTTGCTCCACACACAACTGAGCTATAACAATTCAATCCAAATGGTTCATTGTTCTAGGATTTCACAATACCAGACTTAGAAATGTCTAACATAGGAATAAAGGTGGTAGTTTCTAAAGGAACTCTGGTGCTATATATGTCACTGAAAATGTCAATTGGCTGCTGTAAAGAGTTTCTAAACCTGACATTTAGAGCGTTAGCTGTTTGTCAGAGCAACACATATTACAAAACTGTCTTTTAAAAAGCATGTGACAAATTATTTCTCATTGACACTTACCTTCCTTTCATGCTGCTTCTTGCTCCACCCAAAATTCCTACAAACTTTTCAAGGGACTCAAGAAATTCTTGTACTTGCCCACTGCTATTTGGAAGCTCGCCCCAATTCTATGAGAAAATTTTTTACATGTTGAACAGCATGCAATAATTTCCCATATTATGCAAAAGTGTGAGTTCAACATAATACTCAAAATACCTCTTGTTTCTGGAGGACTGGAACCAAAATACTTCCAAGAAGTTTCTGAAATCCTTCTAAAACATCACCTTTAGAAGTCTCTATGGGCATGAAGTTCACCTCCTACCAAAAACAATAAAAAAATTCTTATGGACAAACTATGGTTTTGATGAAGAACTTTGCTTTGCGTGACATTTCACGTAATGTTTATTTAATTGTGGTTGTTTAAAATTATACTTTCGTAGACAATGAAGACATTAGTTGACTTTGCAATCTGAGCAGTTCGACGTAGGGATCCGATTTCCGTTTAGTTTTACACATGCGGTCGGTATGTCAATAGCTTTCCCATTTTTTGCAGGTTTACGTCATAATTTGTACTCTGGAATCCCATCAGGAAGTGAGTCAGTTTTAAAGTTTGTGTTTCCCGTTTTGTAAGGCTTTGTTACTTTACGTTATTTCCTTCAATTTCTGTTGGTATGATTTAAATAATCAACTGCACGTGATTAACAATATTATTGTCTAATTGACCACGTGGTTTACTCAGCTAAATTTGTTTGTGTTTCTTGGTAGATGTGATGTATTAAGGCCTTTTATTTTCGGTTAGTTAATATTGGTTGAGTATGTTATTTGCTGTGTTTATTTCAGATCGAATAAAATTCTTGCAATTTAGACAATTCTCAGGAATTCAGAGTCCGGGGCATTTTGGCGGTCTTCGTCTGATGGAACAACTATTAATAGTCATTACTAAGCAAGGATTTCCTAGGTGTACTGCTGGTCAATCATGCAAAACAATGATAGTTGATCACATTTGATCCTTCACAAGAGCATAACCCTTGACAACATAAGGAATAATTGAAAATTGCACTTTCCCCTGGCCTGCACAACTGGCATAACTTTTTGCCTTTTACAGGAGAATAAAGAAAAGCACTAGGAGAGCACGATGCATTTGCCTTAATTTGCAAAGCCTTTTCATCTGTTCAACTGAAAACACAAAAAAGAATTTCACCTGTCTGCAGGCTACCTTTTCCCCAACACACAATTAAGTTAGCTGTCAATATAAAGTACCTATATATACACACTTTTAACTGAACACATAAAATGGTTCAGATGTTTGCTCATATAATTCATTTTAAATTAACGAATATCTCAGTCTCTAGAGTGACCAGCAGAAATTGATCAATGAAAAATCTCTCTAGCATTATTGCTTTAAGACTCCACTGTGTGAAACTATAAATAGGAGTGACAAATTCTAACTTGATGTAAACCGCAAATTAACCAATCATAATATACCAGGATTGGAAGCTGGCATAGTAATTAAAAACAAGATATTTAAAACAATTCTAAAAGGGTCTCCTTCCACAACCATATATATCCTCAACAACCACAAATTTTGGTTATAATAGACCACCATTTTTCAGGTCATCCTTGGTGTAAAAACCTGACGAGGTTTTCTTTGTTTCATGAGGTATTGTTTTGCTGTACGCTATTGTTAATAATGTTTTGTTGTCTTTGTTTTACGTCACTTGTGAGCTTCACAGGTTATTAAATCGAGGATGAGTCCAATTTTCTCATCTCTCCCTGCCCCTGAACTTAAATAACAAAGTACACAACAAGTTATACCTGAGCGATGTTCTGAACAGTAATTGCCTTGTTTGTTGCACGGATAAACATAAGACAAGTTCCACAGAGTTCCTAGGAGAATTTAAATTTAGTAATTGTAAGACAAAACAATACCACAAACAAAATTGAAAGAATGTAGTGACTGTGGCTAAATCAAACCAGTCACTCAACCCTTTCACTCACAAGATCTCATTTATTACTAATTCTCCTTACTGTCTGCCATACAATTCTTATAATGATGGTTTGGAGAATTTGGTATTGGATCAACTAGTAATTTATATTTATTTTTTTTCTTTACTCTCATCATGTGTCTGCACTTGTAAGGAGAAATTCTGCCTTGATCACTCATGGGAGCTTAAAAGGGTTAACTTAAACATTGCTTATAATTATTAATGACTGTCCAAAAGTTAATTTCTCTTTCATCAATGACACAATTTCCAACAGAGAGGTTATGAAAAGCAAGAAAAACATCAAATGGGGTATTTTTATTTTATTATTTAAACAAGATCAAACAACAAATATATATGAAATACATATATATGAACTGCGGTTATGAAACGTATATGTGCACAATCCTTCGCAGTAAAGCACTATTTAAGCAACAGTGAAAATCAGACCTGAAAAAAATTCAGGCCTGTACAGGATTCGAACCACCGACCTCTGCGATACTAGTGCAGCGCTCTACCAATTGAGCTAACAAGCCAACTGGGAGCAGGCCATCAAATTAATTCGACATAAACCCGTAGATGATAAATCAAACAACAAATATATATGAAATACATATATATGAACTGCGGTTATGAAACGTATATGTGCACGATCCTTCGCAGTAAAGGACCCCAGGGGAGGACATCCATCACACAGTAATCTTGTGTGTGGGAAATTAGCGTCTCCTGCCCCAACCCTGCAGGAGACGGGACCTCCATTTATTCGTCCCTATCCGAGAAGACTAGAATATCTAACCATTTCTTGATGTTATAGAAAGGTAGCAAATTTTTCTCAATTATTTTAAGACCTTGAGTGTTGGTCCGGCTGGGGCTCGAACCCTCGACCTCCCACACTACAGTCCAGCGCTCTATCCATTGAGCTAACCGGGAGGTTGGGTAAAACTACATTTTGTTCACTAACAGTATCTTTTTGCAGACAAAAACTTTGAGAGAATTTGTACACAAACAATGATAAGTGCCAGATTTTGTGTTTTTTGTTTCTGAACCTTAAACTTGGCCTTGTTATTACACATCACATTAAATGTTGGTACCAAAAATAGGCTGATTTAACAGCCTTAAGTTAAAAACAAAACCTCTTCTTATTCAAAATTTCTTCACAGATGTAGCTCAGATTTCAAATCATTAAACAACTATCAAACCTGCATTAAGCAATTACGCATATGGAATGGTGACAGCATAATACAGATTGACTGTTTAATATTTAAAGGTTCCAAGAAAAGGCATTATATGAAAAAACATAAAAACACCATTTTATAACATACTTGTATTTGATCTTCTAACCTGCAAAAACTTACTAAAAGATACTGCTTTGATTTTGGAAGGTAAACATGGGTTCAATTTTACTTGAAAGATTATTCTTAGTATTATTTGAGTAGTTCTGCTTTAAGTGACCACTAAATACAGGTGGTAGGTAATACAGACTGTTGGGACTCACTTCAAGGTAACCGCAACTGCGTTTTGTCTATAGAGGTCAGACTACTTCATGGAGGTGAAATTACAGTGACAGGAAACAAATTTGGGACTTTAACAATCGACCATTAAATACTGGGTGACCACTTAATTTGGTGCTACTTGATACAGGTTAGACGGTGCACATCTATGGTATTACAACTGAGCATTATGTGCAGTAGCACAAGTTTTGAACAAATCCCTCATTAAGTTTGAAGTGTGAAAGCAATGCTACCCTTCACTACTGCATTTCAAGCTACTTACAGTGCATTCTTGGTAGAAAAACATAAGTTTTCTTGATCCTTCTGCAGCAAAAAAGTCTTCAATTTGGTCAAACTGTAGTGAAGAAGAAAAAACAAGACTGAAAGTATTATTACTAACAGGTATAGTAAGTGAGTCAGGAAGGTCAAACTGAATAAATAAATCAAGAGTCAATCTCAAAAAGGTTTGAGCCACTATATGAAATGTACCTTGCAGGCAAGGTAAAAATTATAGGTTCCAAACGGACATTTCATGATTTTAACATGACAGATCTCTAGTTGTTACCAGGCCAAGCGAGGGATCTTGTTCGGCCATGTGTATGATGAATTTTGTTCTGAAGATTGTGAATGTGAATCGTTTTCATCCTATCGATTTCGACGAACATTTTTCAGTTATTTTGAGAAGGAACCCTCACATTGTTTGTAAGTGTTCGACATTTCGATTTATTTGAGCTTTGTGTACTTTCATTTTGCTTCGCATTTGCAAGTTTCGATTGTGTAATTCTACTTTCAGAAACATATTTGTATGCCATTTATTTGATGAACCTGGATTAAAAGACTCTAAAATTAACCGATCGATTCAGCGGCTACAAAAATGCTAGGTCAAAAAAATGTACACTGTCAGAAGGACCACATTTCGATCTGCCTAGCATCTGTTAGGAAGAGATATGATAGCCAGCATGACAATGATGAAGAAGATGGAAGCATGCAATGATGATAATGAATGATTGCTAGAACAAAGTAAGATTCTGCCATAGTTACAAGTGAATTTCCTGACAGCATTTTTTTTTCTGCCTTACACTCTACTGAAAACTATTTTTTTCTGCCTTACACTCCACTGAAAACAAACCTTATCATCTCCCAAGATGAAATCCTCAACAACAGCACCATCTGCTCCAATGTAGTCACTGATCTAAAAAGTGAATCACAAAATAAACAAACTCAAAGGCAGTGTTTTTTTTTTTATAACACCTAGCACAAAAAAGAGTGATCTTTCCATTTTACTTCTCGTTATCTATCTTCTCATTCACACATACAGTCCATGGAGGGTTTCATTGAGAAATGTGGTAGCAAGAGAATGGAATATAGAGACAAATATTCTGCATAGCTGCTTCACATTTGAATAAAAAATAGCTCTGGAAGGCAATCAAGATGTAAGCAAAGGGCTTTACACAGTATAGGCAGAGATTATTTGATCTTCATGCCATCCAACCAGTAACCAATAAAAGTTTTATAATGAAATTACATTTTACAACTCTTCACCATAGTTGAAGATAAAAGTATACAAAAATTTTGGTATTACCTTGGATAGTATAAAGTTGTGCCTAGAATCCATCTACAAGAACAATCATGATAAATATTAACAGAGTTGTCAATATTGCTAAAAAAGGTCCCACTGACTATTCAACACCCACAATCTGAGCTATAATTCTTTCGGTTACTTGCTGCACATTTCGTTGTAAATTAGCTAACTGATATCATTTGGTTAATTTGGTATGATATCAAGATTACACCAACAAGATAAATTTGTCTATTCTCATTACATGTTTCATAGATAAGATTTTGAAACTGTGAGGGGAAATTTCATGCTGATCACATCTGGAAATAAAAATATATCTTTAATTCCTTTAAAGTGCACCTAAACTCAAAAGGTTTTTTGCTTAACAAAATAAGTGTATTTTTTGGAGTATTTCTGTGCAAAAATTTTTTATTTGCTCAAATGACTTCAATTTTCTGTGCCCAGTCAAAATACGGAAAATCGGCCACTATCTTGGCTCACAACCAAGTTTAAAGAGGAATGGTTCTAGCAGGTAATGTGACATCAAATTGCAAACACGAAAGNGGAAATAAAAATATATCTTTAATTCCTTTAAAGTGCACCTAAACTCAAAAGGTTTTTTGCTTAACGAAATAAGTGTATTTTTTGGAGTATTTCTGTGCAAAAATTTTTTATTTGCTCAAATGACTTCAATTTTCTGTGCCCAGTCAAAATACGGAAAATCGGCCACTATCTTGGCTCACAACCAAGTTTAAAGAGGAATGGTTCTAGCAGGTAATGTGACATCAAATTGCAAACACGAAAGTCTGCATTTCACACATTTTCACTTGTTTGGGAAGGTTGTAGTTGATATTGTCCGAAAATATGCCTACTAAGTGTGTTGTAGGAGGATGTAGCAACATGTGAAATTTGCAAGAGGGTATCACCCTTCATACATTCCTCATACAACACACCTAGTTGGCATATTTCGGACAATATCAATGACAATTACCTTCCCAAACAAGTGAAAATGTGTGAAATGCAGACTTTCCTGTTTGACGTCACATTACCCGCTAGAACCATTCCTTTATAAACTTGGTCGAGAGCCAAGATGGCGGCCCATTTTCCTTATTTTGACTAGGCACAGAAAATTGAAGATTTGAGCAAATAAAAAACTTTTTGTACAGAAATACTCAAAAAAATATGCTTATTTCATTAAGCAAAAAAAATTTTTGGGTTTAGTTGCACTTCAAACCTTTCACTCCAAAGATCTCATTAGGAATTCTCCTTACTGTCTGCCATACTATTCTTCTAATGTTAGTTCGGAGAACTTGGTATTGGATCAACTAAGAATCCCGTGATTGATATTTGCCTTTACTCACATAACTTTTCTGCTTGATATTGTATTGATAATATAAGGAGAAAATCTGTCTCGGTCACTTGCGGGAGTTCAAGGGTTAATCAATAAACAATTAAAGGATAATCAATGATTTACCAATATTTCCTAAAAGCTGGACTTTCCTCCTCCTCTCATTCCCCCCCCCAAACCCGGCTTTTGACGATATAACGACTTGCCCTCCAGCTAATTAACAATCCCTTTGAAACGTATGGGAGACAAAGAACCAACAACTTGTTTACAGTAGATCGATTACAAAATTGATTAAATTGGTACCGTCGTCTTTCGCTGTTCCTTGAGGGCTTTTGCCTGCTTTTGCCTTTCCTTCATAGCTTCCGACCCTGTTACCAGTGTGACTGTTTTCTTCTGCTTAAAAATCCAGTTAAATAAATTGATCAATGGCACAGATAATTTAAATAAGTTGTAGACGAATGACAATTAGACAGGTGACAAAGTACACTTCACGAGACTTCAGATGCGAGCAAATATCATCGTAAAATGTTATATTAAAGATTTAATACTGGCAAAATAGTTTATACGTCCAAAACAAATACCATATGACATAAACAATGGTTTTCACGCAATTCGACAATATTAGAGGACACTACGACATCATGTTTAAATGTTACATAATTTGAAGATTAGAAAGATAACTTGTTCGAAAACAAACTTCCAGCGTTTAGAGGTTTATTTACCGGCCCTCTTAGTTATATTTTTGGGAAATTTCGGTGTTAACAGGTGAAATAACATCATGCTGGCTCTAAACGGAAAAATTAATTCATAATCATCCAGAACCATTTGGGGTAAGTTAATCATTTTACTTGTAATCAAAACAATTGTCGCAGATTTCTTCCACTCACCGGGCCTACATTCGCCGCCGTTCTTCCCGCCGATCTGGGAGCACCTCGGCGTTTCGGGCCTTTCTTTGCCTCTTCATCTACGAACGCGCAAAACAACTTTAAAATCTTTAATCGTTCCGGGACACATCGAATAAAGAGCGTGATTACAAGCACCACTCAAAAAAAAAATACAGTCGATGTAAAATTAATGCCTCGGCGATCGAACACTCCATACCGAAAGAAAACCTCCACGTGAGAAGTAAACGCATGTGTGCAGTTAAACTGACATCATATAGCGTTACTTTTTCTATTTTTCAAATTAAAGTAGAGATAGTATGATTTCAAATAATTACCCTTTGCGTTTGAGATCAACGGAGGAGCAACTTCGCCACTGGGAGGTGATGCAGCCCTAGATCTGGCAGCTTCGTCTTGTGGAGCCTCCGACATTTTCCTCTAAAAATTCGAACACGCGGGGCTTCGAATCTTGCTAAAATAACATCAACCGAAAGCAATATGGATCCTACAATGATAAAATATTCTTTCTAGAGGCTTTCAAGGCGGACTTCATTTGTATTTCATACGCAACTACTGCAGAAAAGCTTCATCTGCACTATGTATCCAAGGTGACGTTGTGTTCAACACTGTGAGCACTCTTTCGTTTGATTGGCTCTCGTACTAATGAAATCGATTACTGTCAAATACCTTTCATGGATTTCTATTGATTATTCAAAAGAGAAATGACAACGATTATTGTTATTACCCGCAGGTAAAAAAGTAAACATTTATCTAGTACTTTGATACTTGGGTTTTATCAGTGTTACGATCAATCAATTAGAAAAACGCTGCGAGCTCGAAAATCGTGCGGGTTTAATACACGGGAATTTAGAATGGTACGAGGGCGAAAAGGAAAAGATTATGCGCTGACAATAAGTCTCGCTAGACAGATCATCGACAAAAGTTCAAAGTCCCGGTTGTTTTTTTCCTTTCTGTAACTGAAACTTTGTGCTCGTGACCACGGAGACATATTTGATACGACGATACTTAGAAAAACTTCTGAAGACAATAGCAGAAAAGAAGAGTCAGGCCCCAACTTTCAATTTTGCTATCTACGTCAATCAACATGATGCCTTGTATCAGTTAGGACAAGGCTGACTTTATTTCCACAAGGTACTTAGGAATAGGTGTATCCTTGTTTACAATTGAGGCGTATTCAGCGAGGGAAAAGGTTTCAATATATTTACAACTCACGAGCACATGGCATTACTTGACAACCTCACCACAAACGTAGGGGGAGACTGGAACCAATACTACTCAGTCTCTACAAATACACCACATCTCCCCCTTTCTTGGACCGAACTACAACGGAAATAACAACAAAGAACGGGGTCCGGAAATAACAACAAGGAACGGAGTCACAGTTAAAAGTACGGAAGTCCCAGCATTACTTCAGATAGACTCTATTAGTCTATCCAGAGCCCTTCGCCCCCTGGAAGATCGGCGAAACGGGGTGGGGGCCGCTTCCACGGACTGGGGAGGAGCCGTCGCTGGTGCCTCCGCTGTTACTGCCGGTGTTACGTCCTGCTTTTGATCCTGAGCTGAATCTGTTTCAGCTGATACACCTTCTTGGGCATCAGGTACATGGACCCCAATTCCTTGTTTACAATATTTGCCTCATTAGCATAAGCAATTCAGTTTCTGATGGAGCTAAAAATAAATCAGTTCTGAATATCGAAAGGTCAAAGTACGATTAACTCGGCCAATGAATACGAGCCTGATGCATTGAATACTTTTTGTGCAACACAGGTTTAAAAACTCAAAATTTTACATAGAATGTATGGGCTCATTAGCGCTTTTGCCGCCCAGAAATTTTGCAGTTTTTGATGGACTATTTCTCCTTGAATATTACACCAAAAGAGCTAAAAATTTCACCATGTACTAAGGTTTTCTAGCTCTTTAGCTGCCTGAAGTCAATTTGTATCTAACATGCTTCCTTCTTTACGCAAAGCCGTATGCAAATGAGCAAAAGTGTAAACAATGACGTCAGCATGAATCCGCCTATAGAAAAATTAAGAAAACATTGAAGAAACGTCGAGTTTCGATTCTCAAAATTTGCCAGGAATAGCTGAGGAAAACCCTTGAAAGTTTAGGCTGATATTTCAAGATGTATACCAGTCGCATCTCCATTCCCCCATAATTCTTTCGGGAGCAAGTGTTGTTTGCACTGCCCCTCTCATGTTGGTCTCCTAAATGTCGGGTTTGGATTGGAAATTGACAACGTTTGAAAGTAGGAGAGAGATGAACGAACAGTCCAAGAGAGAAGGGCGTAGCTATGAGGGGTTCTTGGGTGCCTGTGATCCACTCTATGAAAGCCCCTTTTTGTCGCATTAAGTAAAACACGGCGTGACATGACAATCTGGTGAGTACCCTCTGATTGACACAGTGTGGCCCCCCCTTTATTAATCCTGGCTCTACCTCTGAGTGGTGATCCAAAAATGTATCCAGTCTAATAATGACCAAGAGCAAGGCTAGATCCTGGCAGGCTTTGAATAAATGTTAAAACACGAAGTCATTTAAAGCAACACATCCTTTATTCTAGATAATCATCTCATCAGTTTTTTACCGAGAAAAGGTTATCGTACCTATAATCATACTGAAATAAAGAAATTACACCATTGAAGTGGCGTGGAGTATTAGCGTGGCATCTATGATTAATGAACAACTTAAATGCTACATAAGCCTCAAAAGGCCACAGAAAATCGACTATCGCAATGACCAAGAGTTAGGTCCAACACAAAAAAAAAATGTTTGTCTATCGATATTGGCTACCTAGCCCAAAACTGTAGTCAAATCGCTTTCACCATGTGTGGAAGATAGTCAGTTTCTATTCCCGCAGGTTAAGAGAATGTTCATCGTGTTTGCATGGGCTCAGACTCGCATTCCTTAGTGATCACCTCGTCTTGCATGGCCGGAATGAGACCCTTGCGGAAAGCAACAGAAAGGAGATCCTCAGCGGTCTTGGTCTCGGGATACTGTCGCATAGCCCACTTCAGGTACACGGCAAATTCATTCCAATCCACGGTCCCATCTTCATCCATGTCCATAGCTTTCAAGGCTTGCTTCGTCTCGTCACACCTGTAGCAACCAAAATATGGTGCCAAGAAGCCATTGTAGAAAGCATCAAATTCCAACTTGTCATCCCTCTCGCCATCCCTCAGATCCCATTCATCCCACATCGTACGGACTTCGGCTATCAATACCTGAGCATGGGCCTTCCTTGGTTCGTCTTGGGCTAGAACATCGGCCATTTCTCCAGTGAGTTTACCACCAGAACGGTCAAACAGCTGAGCAAGACCTGCGGCACTCATGTACTCTTCTTTGATGTTTTTGTGAAGATCCTCCAACATCACCTCCTTCATTCTCGTGCCTCGTTCGATGGTAAATTGGGGATCTTCTCCAAAGATATTTTTGAGCCTTGTTATGATCATTTCAGCAGAGGCCAGTGTGGTCATTCGCATGAGTGGCTTTTCCCCAAAGAACTTGGCCAAGTCGAACTCGTTAATTCCAAGTTTAGTAGGCATACTGAACACCATGTCCAGGGCTCGTTCGCCGTATATGGGTTGCAGTGGATATGGCTCTTGTCCAGTGGTGGCCCTGCAGATCTCTTGTGCAGCTTCTCGGAGGGCTGTGCAATTGTACTTCTTGAGAACTTTCTTATTTCCAACGCGGACCAAGTTCATCAGGGTTACGGTAGAGCTGGCTGCACCCATGGATGCTCCTTGTATAATCATACTTGCCCAGATACCATTTGCTCCGTTGGCCAGACATGACAACTGAGTGCTGTCTACCAGTCCCCACTTCTCGTGCACGTGAACCAGTAAGTGGCCATCCTTGAAACCACAGTCATCCATTTCTCTTCGAACAGCACTAATCCATGCTGCAAGTTGCTCTGGGAAGTACTTTCCGGACTCCTCGGTAACGATTCCAAATGGACGGATATCAAGTGGCAAGGAAGATAAGTGACGTATGACCTTAAAAACACGCTTTGGCCTTTTGATCATACCGTCGGGAAGGTCACGCAAGTTGACGACTACTTTGGAATCTTTGGCCAGGTTAGCATGGACCCACTTCAACCTCTCGGTAAGAAGGTCGTTAATGGCTTCAACTTTGAACTTCTTATAATTGATTCCTGCATAAACCAAATCCATTTCGATGATGGCGTTCCTGATGTGGAGGTCTTTCATTTTCCGTAAGCCAACAGGAATGGTCTTGGTGTTAGGAACCCCACTTTTGTCAACGGAATCTAGAAACTCTGAGAAGGCCCAGAGATTGGTGAAGTCTTCTCCTTTCTCGTGCAGCTGTTTGATGAAAGTATCACCCAGTCGAGTCATGTGGGAGAAAGAAGCCACGATGATGTTCTTGAAGCCAACCTTTTTTATCTATTTTAGAAAAAGAATCGAGGAAAAACGTTAAGAAACGCGGAATACATCTCCAATTGGGTTCCCGTAGTGCCTTTTAAGCGAGACAGGCGATAGAAGTCTATTTTCCTTCCTTTTAAACACCCGTTAATTCAAAGTAATCCTCTCCGATATTTTTCAAACGAGTTCGAACGTTGTTAAATGGAGCATGTCGACAAATTAACGAACCGACAGCTATACCAACGCATTGCAGAAAACGGTTGAATTAAGTCATTGACTTGGAAGCACGTAAAATACATGGATTAGAGAAATAACGTCTCAATGCTCCGAAGATCCCCGCGAAGGGACGTAACGTGTGGGAGTTGAGGCCATCAGTTCATGTGCAAATTTGAAGGTTCAATCTGCACGAAAATTCTACCCAAGTGGCTCTTAGCACGTTCGTGCTAAGAGCCAGTTGCTAAGAGTGCTAAGAGCCACTTCGTGCTAAGAGCCACTTCGTGCTAAGAGCCACTTCTAAACCTTTGCTTACAAGTCAAACTGCCATTTTTTGACGATAGTTGATAGTGGTAAGTTATAACATCGAAAGCGATGAATCATAATTATTTTATACTTTGATGATATGTTTTTTAAAATGCATTGTCCTTTGAGACAACAGAAGACTGGAAATCCAACTCAGGGATGAAGCAGAATATACCGCCTACCTCGTTGTAAATTCTCCACTTATTCTCAATAGTGTGCCCTCGCAACTGGCCCACGGTACTTTCACGGAGGGAATTATCCAACACAAAGATGTCCAAATCTCGCAAGACCTTGGTTTCTTTACCAGCCTCATCAATCTCTTTCTGCATCTTTTGGATTCGTTGCTTGTAGTATGATTTGTTCGCCATGACACTCATTTGATTTCAAGCAGCTAAAAGAAAAAAATTATCATATAAATATATGACCTAAGCCACCAGCTGGGACAAGAATCTACCTAACTCTGCGGTATGGAATTAACGTGCCTTTGTTTGATATCTCCATCATGCTTTTAGTGATGTATGTTCAACTGGCCGAAGCGTGGTCTTTCGCCCAGTTCTTTCGAAATTTGACTAATAGACCACTTTCATAAATGGCTGCCGGATTAATATTCTTTTGTCTAAATTTAAATTAGCCCTTCTGGCCTCGTTCTCCAGTACAAAATTCAAAAGATTACATTTTCTCAAGCGAGGCCAGAAGGGCTAATCTAAATTTCAACAAAAGAATATTAATCCGGCAGCCATTTATGAAAGTGGTCTATGGCAGTAACGCTTCACGTCAGTTATACAGAGGCTGAAAAAATGTGTTCTATTGCTTACTTCTTTTTTTTTGAATTATTTACCCGAGCAAGTGTCACAGTCTGAAAGTAAAGTGGGCATTTTCGATCAAGTCCGCGCTAAGCTCAGACAGAAATCTTTCAACAGTCACGACCTAGCTTTGTTTTATTGTTGATGTTCTGAGTACTTCTGGTTTCATGTAATCTTTGCCAAGTTAAAAAAATGTTCGCTTTGTGAAGGAAACGGCTACATGTTACTTTGACAGGAGAAAAATAAACCGCCAAAGTTAGAACTGTAAAAAATGGCTGAAGATGGTTAAATCTTGAAGGCAATTCATACAGAATAGAAACCACCGAAGAATTGTAAGTGGTTTCTATTCAAGATCTCCAAGACATTGGAGAATTAGCCTAACACCTGACTTTTAGAGGAAATAGATGTTTAGTTAGAAAACCAGTTAGTGCGCAGAGGAGGAGAAGTAATTCAGAGCGAAAGAAGGAAGGGAGTTTGGAAATTTCTTTAATGCTGTAAAAAACAGCAATTTGTTTCAATGCGCTGGACCTTTACAGCCGATTTCACGCGGTCTAACCCAAACCGCGGTAAGTTTTACGCAAGTAGTGGGCCTCAGGATTCTCTATAAAAGGGCTGATTTGATTATATAAATTTCTTTCCACTCTTAGCTTTCGGCCTTCTCGACACTGTTCACAGAATTGAATCTTCGCATGAAAGGTTCTGCTAAATTGAAGACGGCCTAGAACTTGGTTTTGTTAAACAACTGCTCAACTTTGTTTAAATAACCGGCCATCTTTGAATTTAAATATATGAAAATCATATATGTGTACTGCGGTTTCATGAAATATATGAAAGCAATCCTTGCAGTAATGAACGCTACTCATGCAGTAGTGGAAATAAGGCCTGAAGAAAAATTTAAAGCCCGTACGGGATTTGAACCCATCCTTTGCGATACCAGTGCAGTGCTCTACTAACTGAACTAACAAACCAACTGCGAGCTGAACAATATGTTAACGTTGGTTCGTATTACAACTGGCCCTCGTGTTTAGCGTTAGTTGAGTGCGGTGACGTTAGCACTGAATTAAACTGTGGTGATTTGCATCACTGGCTATGGTCGCACTACAAAGCTTAATCACGATTAAGGCAGCCGGCTCTAATCACGCTTGAGCTAATTCTCAAGTGCGAAGGGTGTCTCGAAAACTCAGACCTCAGACCCGAAAAACTCAGACCCTCTGGGTGTCTCGAAAACTCAGATCCGAAAAACTCAGACCTTCTGGGTGACTCTAAAACTCAGAACCGAAAAATAAAACATATTTACACCGCGTGAATGCCGCAAGCCGACTTGTTTACTGTTCGTCGATACAGTGGCATTACGTGCACTGATCATGAAAATTATCAGCCGAAAAAAGAAAAAAAACAGCTTGCAGCGTTAGATACGTGCAACGATCATGAAAATTTTACTCAACATTCGTATAGATTTTTCTTTTCGTTAGCGTATAAGCCAAGTTTATATCCACAATGTGTAGTGTCACTAGAAGCCATTCGCGAGGTGTGTTGCGTGATGTGTTGCGTGATGGTTCCCTGTACGAATTCAGGACTGACGTCACTTCCTCATTTTAAAGAATAACTGCGTATTAAACACTGTGTATAAACGGTTCTTTGTTTAGGTTTTCTTTAATATAACATAAGCTTTTAATCAATATTGTGGTCAATTACGATAAGACATTATCCGGTCATGGTTGCATTTTCCAAGCCACACGAGCCTGAGTTATTTTCTTTCCTTTCAATAAAAACGCTTAAATGTACTAACTGTATGATTCGCTAAATGGTTTTTGGAAACGAAATTGCCAACAAAACTGAACACGCGGCGTCGCCGTCTTCGTTTCTTAAGGGACCTTAAGCAAACGACGACGGCCACGGAAACGAGGATGTGAAAAAACAAAAGATCGAATTGGCAGAACAATAGTTCAGTCTCTATTGTAAAACTTAGTACATTTCTTAGTCGTCCTTTTGCAAAATGGCCTGAGACGCTGGTAATCAGCAAAGAAAACAACAAGGCGATAAGGTAAGTCCATTTTATTTCAAAACAAGACATTTTTTCTCTCTTTTAGGCCAAAGTAGGGAATAAATATAGAACGTTGCGCAACACTGTAAGAGTCACTTCCGCTTTTCTTTTTTAGTAGTGAGCTTGAGCTGCGTGTGGTTCGACTGTATGCTACATGCCAGATGCTGTGAAATATTATCCTTCACTCACTGACCTTTCGTCTTCAAGCAAGCTATCTTTTTTTGTAGTATTAAGACATGCATCATGTTACCATCTATAGCTAAATCTCGTGCGTCAGAAGCACACAATGGCATGGTAAGGACCGTTTCACACGAACGACGGTTTTGTTATATTTTCAATCACGGAAAGAAGAAAAGAAACCATTCAGCTCCTTGAAAAGAATGCCAATAAAGGTTGATTTTTCTGTATTCATTAAAGCTTCTTCGGCGAATATCTTTTATAAGTAATAATATTAAACCAGTGTTATTAGCATAAATAAGGAACTGAGCCTGGCTAAGTAAGCACTGGAGTTGATGGATGCCAATCTATCAACTCGAGTTGTATAATGAGTGGCGTGTTGCTTTCTCATTGGTGACGACGATTGCAAAATGATAATTCATGGCAGGAACAAACAAAAGACGGCTTACAGACAAACAACACTCGCACATTGAATGAACATCCCGCAAAATCTTCCCTTGAAGGTCAAAACATGGTTAACACACCCTAATTTCGACCAATCACAGCGTTTAATATGTGCGTTGATCTACAGTTCATCGAAAACGTTTTCTCGTCGCTTTGATATGTAAGCTAAGCTGGCTCGGAAATTCGCGAGCACGATGATGGCAGAGTAACTGCTCAAAAAACGCAAATAAATAGTAACCAGAATGCTATTTAACGTAAAAGAAACATTCAATCTCTGTGATAATTTCAAACACAGAGAAACCTAATTTAGGAAACGTCTGCCCTCCGTCGTGCAGCACGATTTCTAAGGGGTTTCTAGTCAACAGTAAAAAATTATTCTCCGCAAATGAAATGTTGCACTTCGTGGACTTAAAACGGAGCTTACAGTCTTTCAAGTAACCTCACAGCTAGCCCTTGAAACAACTTACCTTGGATCCAATAGGACAATGATTGGGATCTCGAAGTACCTTTCTTCGGTCGAGAGAGAAGCGATTCTGTGACGCGAATTACTGATGAGTTGGGGACTAGTTTTATGCCAAATTGCAAACGCTCTGATTGGTCGATATTAATAACTCACGTGGGATGTTGAACAGCGGGTCACGGGCCTTTCACGATCTATTGTTTTTGATTCCACGCCTGTTTTGAGATTAAGCATTTCCGTTCTTTATATAGCATTTATAGGTGAACAGCCATGCGTAGGACATTGAAAGGAGTGAATGAATTCTACAAACAGCGGAATCACGGAATGTCTTCTCACACAAAACAAATTTTCTTTGCTTTGTTTATTTATAGATAGACAAATAGTATGCTATCGATCTTCCGGTATAAAGATTTCAGTTTGTGAAGGATTTGCGTACCACTAACAAACAGGAGTTTCCTTGAGTGAATAGACACCAAAACTATTACCCGAAGTTTGCATGCACGGTATTTTTCATCTAAGAGTAGGGGTGTCAGCTTACAAGAATGTATTAAACAGCCTCGAATATAATCATTTCCTCTGGTTAAAAGTTCTCTGAATCCAATATCTCAGCTGTGTGGTCATATTTAATTCAACTTTAAAGTGGCGGTTTATTGTTCCTTGTGATTTTAATTGTTACACCCACGCAAAGCAATGCACAAATGTTCAGTCTAATAACACCACAGGAAAAGGAAGGGCGGGGATGAAAAACTATGGGTGTGGCGGCATCGAATGCACCTAAAAGTGCCAGTTGAATTGTCATTTACGAAAAAATCCTTTTCTCCCTGCTAGAATATTTGCAATTTGGTCGCGTCGAAGTTTGCAATAACTTGCATACATCGGGAGGCACTGTTGACGTTACGCAAATGATTGTTATTTGAGATGACTTGTTTGTCTAACTCGGTGCATTTCATTATTCCTGTTTAAAATATATCTGTATAAAAATCAATGACCGCTTTAATAGAATGACTGCAGTCCGTATTGCACCTGTAAAGATACAGCTAGCAATATTAAGTGTCCACAGCACTTCGAATACTATTCCTAATTTGAATGATGTTCTGTCGAGATCGCGATGTACTTTTTTTTCGATGTAAATAACATTACGAAATTTGTCTCAGCACATTGACGAAGCTGAACCGCACAAGGTCAGTGGATCGAGTCAAACGTTGGGATTGGCTAATATCTATGGCGTGTTTGAGTCTGACGCAGTGGTGAGACATGGTTGAGGTCACACTACTGTGGACTATCAGACAATTATATAAATCTACGGGCCCTCTAGCAAAAAATGCTGAAATTTGATTGACCACGCTTCTCGCTATTCACTGTTTGATAGGCAAGGCGTAAAGCGAGTAACGCGCGGTTGTAAATTATGAGCTGGTCTAGATGTTAGGATTTGAAACCCCAATAGGTGGTTTGCAACCAATCTCTAGGGAAACAGGTAACAATGGTGAAAGGAACAAATGCTGGTGGACGAACGAAAGAAGCTAATGAGATATCTATTGTTATGTCCACCAACATGGCGACGATCACGTAACGTGCAAACCACCGAAGATTGATAAAATTATATATTGCCTCTCCATTTCTATGGCTGATAATTCTATTCTGGTCAATTTATTTGGCTGCGAAGCCCCCACCAGCGATCACGCAATAAAACACGCTCATAGCTTTTTTGCATGGGGTCTGGTTTTCTGAGAAAAGCATAGGCCTTTGTCTATTTATTCATTTTTTTTTTCTGTAATCACAATCTGAATTTCACTGAGCAGGAAAGCGCAAATCCGCCAATAAATGACAAAGTTTTCTGAACAAACAGACGTGGAGAGTCTTTCCATGTTGAAAGACACATGAAACTCAAAAAATGAGATTAATTTCAGTTAATTGGTTTCCAGCACATTTGTTCCAATTGTTGATGATTTGTTTGAATAACACGAAATCTACATTTGCATAATCCCACATGTTATTGTGGAGGAAGGATCGAAATGTTTACATTCCAACACGTACACAAATTTTGCTCTTGCAGATTTGCAATCAATGAAACTTGAGAATGTTAGCTATCCAACAAGAGAAAACCGTGCGGGTATTTCTATCGTTCCACAGGGGTCTGCACCCTGCTGGTAAGCGATTGTGTTTAACAAAGCGGAAAGACGTGAACACCGTCTGATTGCAAAACTTATTCTAGAAAAATGAGACTTTTGTTAAGTCTAATTTAAGACAAAATATGAGCAGATATTTATTATTCAAAGTTACGACGATGTCAGTTGCTTTATTGTAAACAACGAACAAAATTCTGATTGATGTATGATAATTGAACAATTGTCTACGGCTACCGCGTATCCCATCACCCTGTATTTTTAACTAAGATAACCCACTTACAGTATGTATTTCGAGCCGTTGCTTTCTTTTACTTTTTTTTTGGTGTTGTTTCTTTTTATGAGGAACAAACGAACGATGTTTCCTCCGGAAAAGGTTTGCGGAAAAATTCGAAACTTTCCGCTGTGTTTTCGGGCAAAACAGGATGCACTAACAATCCGTCCGGAGGAAGTTGTCGCGCGTCGCTTCCGAGCTCGCCCAATATCGATTTCGACTGAGTAGTATGATGATAAGGAAACAGAGAGGGAAAAGCGATTCGTTGACACTCATAAATTTGTACAGATCTACGGACATTTGCAGTTTTCCGTTTTAAGCCAGGAGATATAACGAGCACTGACCTTTGAATGTATTTTTTGTAAGGATTACTGGGAATAAAGCTGTCTTCTCTGGAAAGCTGGTATGTTTGTTTTTTTTGTGGATTTGCCGAGGCACTTTAGTCAGAATTAGCCTTTATTTTTCCCCTAAACAGGCAGAGCTTTCAGATTGTGTCTTCATCAAGAGGGAAAGCCCTGAAATTTATCGAGACTCACAGAAAACTATCGGAGCGAATATTGTGAACGCACTGAATTATGATTGTAATCATGCCAACAAAGAGCAACTACGATGATGATGACGTTATTTATACTCGGATGAAAATGAGGCTTGTTAGGTCTCTAGCAATAGAGATGCTAATATACCGAGAAAATTATATGAATATAAATTACAGAGTTTAAAAATAATATAAGCCTAAATATAATTAACAATTATACGCCGAAGGCGAGGTGAATATTTATTCACCTCATTAATGTGAATATTTATTCACATTCATTATTACACGACTCGGGCAGTCAGAGGGCCAATAACTAAAATCAACCAATCAAAGTGCTCTATTGGCGGTCAATATTTTCTAAGTATTGGACCGGGCACTGTCCCGAATGGTCCCGAATGATACCGCACGTGTGTCCCTTTGAACTTCAGTCGTATAATAAATCTCTTATTAACCAAGCTTCCTCGGGACCGTACTGGAAGAATATCGATCCTCGGTCTTTTTTGTACGGAC